AAGCTGAACAGATTTAAAAAAACAAAAACAAAAAATAAAACCCAGTCCTGACTCTAGGGGACTAGGGAAGTTGGGGCCAGGAGCTCCCCCCTGAGCCCAGGGTAACCTTGAAGATAGGGGGGCAATTGACTACCTTCATGGTAGACACAGGAGCTCAGTATTCAGTCCTAACAACAATTGAGGGACCTATGAGTTCCAAAACAGTCTGGGTCCAAGGGGCTACCGAAGGAAAAACATACAGATGGACCACAGAAAGAAAAGTAGACCTCAGCACAGGACGAGTCTCTCACTCGTTCTTATTGGTCCCCGACTGTCCATACCCTCTTCTTAGGAGAGATTTACTCTCTAAGCTGGGAGCCTACATCCACTTCACTACAAAGGGAGCTACTATAAAAGGAAAGGATGGAGCTCCACTACAGGTATTAACCTTGTGACTGGAAGATGAACATCGGTTATATGAGGGACTGATAGCAAGAATTCCTGGTATATCTGATTGGCTAAGTAAAATCCCCTCAGCATGGGCCGAGACAGGAGGCCCAGGACTAGCATACAATCAGCCTCCAATAGTGGTTACACTAAAACCATCTGCAGCTCCGGTTTTAATCAAACAATACCCTATGAGCAAAGAGGCCCGAGAGGAAACCAGGCCTCACATCCAAAGACTTTTATAAATAGGCATACTTCACCCTTGCCAATCCCCTTGGAACACCCTGCTGCTCCCCGTGAAAAAGCCAGGGACAGATGATTATTGACCAGTTCAAGACTTAAGTAAAGTCAATCAGAGGATAGAAGATATCCATCCCACTGTTCCTAATCCCTATAATCTCCTGAGTTCTTTACCTCCTAGTCATAGGTGGTATACTGTACTTAACCTGAAGGATGCGTTCTTCTGCCTAAGGCTGAGCCCCATTAGCCAGCCCATCTTTGCTTTTAAATGGAAGGACCCTGAAGCTGGAATATCGGGACAACTAACCTGGATGCGACTTCCCCAAGGATTCAAGAACTCCCCTACTCTGTTTGATGAAGCTCTACATCATGACCTGGCTGACTTTCAGGTAAGAAACCCACAGATTATGCTCCTCCAGTATGTAGATGACCTCCTCTTAGCGGCCGAGATGGAAGCTGGCTGTTTGAAAGGTACGGAGGCTCTCCTATTGAGACTGGGGGAACTTGGATACTGAGCCTTGGCAAAGAAAGCCCAGATCTGCCTACAGCAGGTAAACTACTTGGGCTACCGGCCAGAGGGAGGGCAACGATGGCTAACGGAAAGTAGAAAGCAAGCGGTAGCCTCTATTCCCCCACCTACGTCAGCCAGAGGACTCAGAGAATTTTTGGGAAGTGCAGGATTCTGTAGACTATGGATACCGGGCTTTGCCGAGATAGCGGCTCCTCTATACCCTTTAACAAAGAATGGGACCCCTTTTGTCTGGACTGAAGAACACCAGAAAGCTTTTGACAAAATAAAAAGAGTGCTGTTGACGGCTCCAGCATTAGGATTGCCAGATCTGACAAAACATTTCATCCTATATATAAATAAAAATAATGGGATGGCAAAAGGAGTCCTTACTCAGACTCTGGGACCCTGGAAAAGGCCAGTGGCTTATCTCTCAAAGAGACTGGACAATGTGGCCGCTGGCTGGCCCCCATGCTTGAGAATCATGGCGACAATAGCATCCCTGGTAAAAATCCAGAAAAGATCAAGTTTGGTAGCCCTGCCACCTTAAACCCTGCCATGCTGCTACTAACCCCCCGGAAAGACATTTTCCCTCGATTTGGACTGCCTAAGGTAATTGGGTCTGATAATGGCCCAGCCTTCGTCTCCCAGGTAAGTCAGGGAATGGTCAGAGCACTAGGGATTAATTGAAAAGTCACCTGGTATACGGATGGGAGCAGCTTTCTGCGAAACGGTGAACGTAAGGGAGAGGCAGCGGTGGTCGATGGGGAGAAAATAATTTAGGCCCAAGCCCTGCCAGCCGGAACTTCAGCCCAATGGGCTGAATTAGAAGGCCCAAACCAGGCCCTAAAAATTGGCAAAGGACAGAAAGGTCAGCATTATTCATTGCCCTGGACATCAATGAGACCAGGGGCCGATTGCTCAGGGCAATTGGATGGCAGATGAAACTGCCCGTCAGGCAGCGGAAGGCACTTGTATTTTCTACACCTATTCAGACCATGAGGCTGAAATTGAGGCACAAACAAAGGAAGGAGATGTTCTTTTCACTTATACTGAACAAGATCTGGAACTCGTTCAGAAGCTCAACGCTACTTTGGACCCAGAATCTAAAATGTAGAAATATCAGGATCGAATCATACTGCCCCGAAAGGAGGCCCTTGAGTTAATCTCCCAACTCCACCAGTGGACACACTTAGGATACAAGAAACTAAAGACACTCTTAGAAAGAGAAGAACAAATTTATTATTTCCCAGGCCTCAATCAACTAGTCCAAAAGGTAGTGGGAGATTGTGTCTCATGTTCCCTGGTAAATGCTACCAGATCAAAGGTTCCATCTGGTAAGAGAGAAAGAGAGACAAGACCAGGGACTAACTGGGAAGTAGATTTTACTGAGATCCTCCCAGAAAAATATGGTTATAAATATCTTTTAGTGTTCACAGACACTTTCTCAGGGTGGGTTGAAGCTTTCCCCACCCAGAAGGAAACAGCCCAGACGGTGGTGAAGAAAAAATCTAGCCATAAAAAAAGGGGGGAATGATAAAATCAAACTAAAGCCCCCCCCAGGTCAAAGTGGAATCAAACCAAGTCCTCCCCAGACCAAAAGAAAAATATTCTGAGAAGCTGTACAAGGAAGTAAGATATAAAATAATTCTAACTGCTGAGAAAAAGCTGACCTTTTCATGCTCCGTGCACAAAGCTGAAAATCACCTGAAACTTCCTCCCACTACTGCCGCTCTCCCTCCCACTTCTACCACTTGTGGTTTGTGGTTTTTGCCTTTAAAAGAAGCCGGTAAGCTGAGCTCTGGGCTGCTGCTCTCTCGAGTGAGGCAGGAGCCCGTTTGCGCAAACGAGATTAAATCCTCTTGCTTGTTGCATCTCCTGGTCTGAGGACTGAGTTATTGGGGTGTGGCCTCCCATGGACGTTGGGTACCCCTGGTTGGGGGGGTCATACAGCATGCTTCCTGTGCTGAGAATTGATGCATGTATTAAACTCAAGTGTGGAGGACAGGACAAGAAAGGTGAATCTGGATTTTTAAATTTTTTATTTATTTTTGGCACACCTTTAATCCCAGCACTTGGGAGGCAGAGGCAGGCAAATCTCTGTTGAGTTCGAGGCCAGCCTGGTCTAACCTAGTGAGTTCTGGGACACCTGGGGCTTCAGGGAGACTGTCTCAAAAAAAGACAAAAAAATTTATTTATTTATTTTTATTTTATGTGAATGGGCGCTTTGCCGACATGTATGTAAGTGTACCATGTGCATGCAGTATCCTTGGAGGAGGTATTGAAATTAATATCTGAGCTGGGTCTTCACAAACATGAACATTTGTCACCTAGAAAGGAGAATTATACTAGATCAGGTAAAGAAAACACAAAAATAGGAGCAGGAGGCACAGAACATGTGTGTTCAGACTTCCCAACCCTTGTGTGCTTGGAGAATGGAATTCACTGAGAAAGTGACTAGGCTTAAGGCTAACCAAGAGAAAGGTGCCAGGTCCTAGAGGACCTCATAGGCCTATAAGAAATGGAAAACCAAACCAGTTAAGAATTTTAAGCAAAATCAAGGTAAACAAACAACTAGGACATTATTATGATAATTCAAGTGAAGAATTAGGTATTGATTTTATTAAGTGGAAAAGGGACAAGGAAAAGAAGTAAGACTTTGATTGTGATTGAAGTAGGAAATATTTATGCCTGATGGTTTTGGGGACTGGAGAGATGGCTCAGTGGTTAAGAGCATTGGTCACTCTTGCAGAGGACCTGGGTTCAGTTCCCAGCACCCACATGGTGGCTAACAACCATCTGTAATTCCAATTCCAGGGGATCTGATGCCCTCTTCTGACCTCAGCAGGCTTTGCATGACACAGGTGCACTTACATTATACATGCAGGCAATGTACTCATACACATAAATATAAAAAATAAAAATAATAAATAAAAAACTTTTAAAATCAAGTGCTTTGGTGTTGTGGAAGACAAAAGGAGAGATGGAGGTATACAGAAAATGTGAAGAAAAGTAAAACTTCATTCATTCATTGTGCAGTGCTAGGGCTCAAACCCAGGGCCTTGCCCATACTAAGCTAGCATTCTTCCAGTGAGTTATATCTCCAACCTACCAAAATCAGGCTTTTGAAAGTAAGAATCTATAAGCTTCAGCATTGTGGTAGTGCATCCCACATTATGGCATGCCTGAATAAAACAGCCTGACTCAGCATTCATTAAACCCAAGACTGGAACCCAATCTGTTCTGCGAACTTGTTCTTTCAGATTTCTCCTGGAACTCTGCTCTCAACCAAAGACCTTGTGCTCTCCTTATTGAAATGCTATATCCAGCATGAAATGGGGAAGGAAAAGCAGAATCTTATCACAGAAAGATTTGCCTTTTCTGACCCCCTACTCATCCAGAACAGTATACAAGATAACAAACAGACGTTATCAGTCTAATCCCACCTGTTGTTTACAAAATAAATGGAATAATTTGTTGCTTCTTATGGATATTTGCTGCTTGCAAATATTTTTAAACCACCTGTTGTTTACAAAATAAATGGGATAATTTGTTGCTTCTTATGGATATTTGCCACTTGCAAATATTTTTACAACACACACACATACATAGATTATTCTATGTATGTGTCAAGGGCAAAGAAGAGTCATGAGGGATTAAAATTGTATGTTAGGTTACAAGATGAGCCCAAGGCCTATTAAACTTGTTTACATTATAAATAAGCTGGGATAGTGTTAAATAATCTCAAAACATAAGATTAACTTTGGTTACAAGGTAAGGTAAAAGTCGTTCCCACATAGCTTTATTAGAATAATAACCATGCAAATTAAAGTTAAAAATGAGTTTATTTCAAATGTGAAAATATAAAAGCCACTTACATAAAAATTTGAGAATACTGAAGCATCCAAAGTTTAAGGTCTAGCTTTATAAATGTATTTAGACTGAATTAATTGAGATAATACTCATAGCAGGCATAAACATATAGAATCATAATCCCTAAGAATATTAAAATACTGGGAAAATAATGCATGTTGTCACTGATAAAAAGCACAGAACTGCAATGTCTAGTGCTGTAGACTCCCCTAGGCCTCTGCTCCAAAGGAGGATTCCTTGAATATAGGCATCTCACTGTCATGGGCAGTGATTGGGGAAAAGACCACATGACCATTCCTGACCTATAGGACATGAGGAGACATGAGGAAAGATATTCTAGGAACCTCTGTGGAAGAGCTCTTCAAATCTGTGAAGAGGACAAAAGAAAGTCACTCATGTCTCTTGTTTCTACCAGATCTCAACGAATCTGTAGACAATGTATAGTCTTCATGATCCAGCCCAAGGATGTACCCAGCACAGGGAAAGAAGCTGGACCCCTGAAACACACCCAGCTGCTGGACCCTGCCTTACTTGAACAACTTCTTAGGTGGATTAGAGATTTCCTTATTGTCTTAATCATTTGACTCAGGAGCTTTTGTTACTTGCAGCCCAGAGCTTCTCAAGTGAATCGAGAAGTAATAGTAGAGAAAAGGTAGACCTTTGCAGATGGCAATGAGTAGTAGGTGTTTTCTAAAATTTTCCCTTAGTCAGCCAACCATCTCCTTCATGGTCATTTTCAAACTTCAAGTTTACATAATCCCTTCCCTCTCAATTGTCACTCACTGATTTGTTTTGTTTTGTTTTTGACACTATCGTGTCTAACCATCTCACAAACTATTGCCAAAAAAAAAAAAGACAAACAGAATAAAGAAAAGAGACACAGCAGCTGATTCTACATTCTAGCTCCTGCTACAGTGTAGTGTGGACAGGTAATTCCTCTTTTACAGCTGGCTTTGAGGTTCCTGCAATGACCCTTGTCCTCACAGGAGCTGCAGAGGCTCCTAAAGGAAAGAATTTGACAATCTCCTGATGGTTTTAAAAATAAAAGCAAGTAAGCACTTAAACCTCACCATATATCCTTCACTTATTGAACTCCTGGTCATATTGGTGGGGGGTATTCCTACACATTTTTTAATAACCTTAAAAATAGCACGTGTAAAGTGCTGAGAATTGTCTGGCACACAGTATTACTAGCTGTCATTCTACTCAGATCAAAACGCCCTGCTCAATCTAGCATGGGAGACTGTCCCAGTGTTCCCGAAGCTCCAGTGGTTTTGTAACAAGTCTGCCTGCCTTCCTACAACTAGAGTTCTGCCTTACTCTTATCAATGATACCTTTGAGATCTTTCACCTCAGGGCAACTGTCTTGCCTTTTATTTTCATAGACAAGCAGCAACTTTGGCATTTCTTATGACAAAAAACCCATATGAAAAGGCAGGCAAGCCTAGTGAACTTCCTGGGCGGAGAGGCTTTTCTGTCAAAGCTGGCAGGGTTTGATCATCCACCATCTTCAAGGCTTGACCATTGAGTTGGACAGATCTGTAAGCAGGAAAGACAATGCCTGAGTTAGGCAGGTTGTGCATGTACTATGACCCCTACAAAAATTGTGAAATAACTTTAGAGAAAAAATGATGTTTGTGGTAGCCTGTGTTACATAATTTGTATTTCAACACTGTGTGAGGTTAGGTACTAAGATGTTCTTTAAACTATAGCTGATGAGAAAAGTATTAGAACAGAGACCATCTGGCCTGCAGAGCCTGCAATATTTACTATCTGACCTTTGACAGAAAATGAAATACACACAGATTATGTGTCTATCTTGTTTCTTGATACAAGTTCTTACCCTATTGTTCAGACTGTCCTGGAATTTACTATGTAGTACAGGCTGGCCTGGAGCTCACAGTGATCCTCCTGTCTCATCCTTTGCATTCTGGAATTATAGGCATGAGCTACCATGCTTAGACTATCTTTTTTCTCAAATGTTTTTTTGTATTATTGTTGACAAGATTAATGACAGTTACCTTTATTCCATGTATACAGTAAATGTAATGTATTTAGAACACTTATCACTGTGCTCACGTCTGTAATCCCAACACTTGGGAGGTAGAGTTAGGAGGATCAAGAGTTCAAGGTCAGCCTCCACTACATAGCATGTTCAAGGCTACATGAAACCCTGTCCCAAACACCCCCAAAGCAAAACAAAACAATCTATTATATCATCATAACTATTTTAATATCTTGATATATGGTCTATCTTTTATATATATTTTACTTAAACAAAAATGGGTATAATGTACATATTTTCTTAAAACTTGATTCTTTTTCCCTTAATACATCCTGATATTTGTTCACACCATAGTGCATTCATCCTCTACATCATTTTAATGGACACATCAAACTTCGTGGTATGAATATATTAGTGCATTTACTGAATCCTCAACTGCTGGATAGTTTGTTGCCATGTAGACTTACTATGTAGTTTAAATTTTTTTTTCTTGACAAGGTCTTGCTCTGTAGCCCTAGCTGGCCTCTTCCTCACTATGTAGACCAAGCTGGCTTCCAACTTGTAGGTGATCCTCCCTGCTTCTGCTTCCCAAGTTCTGGGATTACAGGTACATACCACCATGTCTGGCTTATATTTCCATTTCTAAAGCTCTTCCTTCCCCTTGTTCTTACTATGGATCAGTAAGTAGAAAAACTGGTTACATGTAGCCTTGGTTAGATGTTCAACAACTTAAGACATGTTAGCAACATACCCATGATTGTGCCAGGACCCACCAAGCCTGCACTGGGGTTGGACTCAGTTCACAGGCATTAGTTTTTGTTTTTATGCCTGACATACATTTCTAGCTAGGTAGGGGAGGAAATGTCACAATCACCATCAGGAAACCACAAACAAAAACAGGTCTTGAAAACATCTCTAAATGATGGTTACTACCATCATACTCAGCATGAAATGAAAGTCCTTGCAAGAGTGCACACTAAAGTTCTAGAATTTCTTTTAATGTTTTGTTACCTCAGCTTAAATGTAAATCTGGTCATTGTGAATCAGTAGTGCTGTTTTAGATGAGGAACATGGCAAGGTGCTGTACCAGGAGGCTGGATGTTTAATCAGCTGCACACACATCTAAATGGTGCTCTAAGGATGCCCTGTATATGCCAATTGTTTCCACAACAGGTTGGGCAATGAGGGTGGGGTTTTATTTGTGGGTAGCAACTTGTTTCATGTTTGAGGACAGAAACATGAAGATAAGAAAACAGAAGATGAGTTGGTCAAATTTTAGATGAAATAAAGGTTGAAGGAATTGGTAGAATTGAGAAATGCCAACAAAATTTATCTGAGAAAAATATATAATACTGCTTTCATATTTAAATATTTTCATTCAGAGCCAGTGAGATGGCTTAGAGGGTTAAAGCACTTGCCACTAAGACTGACAATCTGAGTTTGAGTCCCAGGACCCACAATGGTAGAAGTAGAGAACCAACTTTCCCACTTTGCATATGTGTGCACATGTGTGTACACACAAAATGAATGTAGGGGCTGGAGAGATGGCTCAGTGGCTAAGAACAGTGGCTGTTCTTGTAGGAGACCGTATTCAATTCCCAGCACCCACATGGTGGCTAACAACCATCCATAACTCCAGTTCCAGGGGACTACAACACTCTACTTCTGACCTCCATGGGCATTTCATGACACAGGTGCACTTACATACAGGCAGACAGTACATTCAAACACATGAAATAAAAATAAATAAAATATGAAAAAAATAAATGTAATAAAATTATTTTCATTCTAATACTAAATATTTACTACTCAGGACCTCAATGGGTGCTGTTCAAAGGATGCTTAATTAACAGCTATTTTTTAGGGTGACCATTGTTAAACTCTGGGATTAATACAAGCAAGTGTATACAGTATATGATCGTCAGACCTCCCTGAACTTTGCAAATGAAGAGAGAAGAGTGTAAGTAAAAATACACTTATCAAAGAGAAATTAGAGGATGAAATGGTTTCCATAATTCACCAGTTTTCTAATTGATAAGTGTGAAATACAGGATCAGATGTAACGGAGTTGGTGCAAATCAGGAGAAAGAAGAATCACTGGTGACTTTGGGCTTGTTAAGCCTTGAGCGAAGACAACCCAGGTGTCCTTCACACGTGAGTTATCTTGGAGAAGATGAGGCACACAGCATCACTCCAGATAAAGGTGTAAATCAGGTCGAGGAAGTAGTAGGGCAGGTGTGGACAGCAGTCAGGAAGGGAGTGTGCTGAGCAAGAAAGCCAAATGACACGCCCAAGACCGACAACCCAACTCAAGCTCAGCCAAGGGAGAGAACAAGCCTACATTTGGCAGGGCACGTGCTTGGCAACGATGAGGGCCCTGGGTTCCACCCCTACCACAAAAACAAGTTAAAAGTTTTGATATTTTAGTAATTGTTCATTTGTAAACGTTGGTAAATAGCAATGAAAATTAACACAAAAAATTAACACACACAAGTGCATGACAACCTCCTCCTCCTGTACCAGAAAAATGTATGAGGGGGGAATGCCTTCCAAACCCACTTGATCACAGGCATGGGGTTATTACTAATTTCCAACCTCTGCTCTAGAGACTAGAATGAACAGCAGCAAACAAAGACAGAGAACATGGCAGCTTTGCGAGGCTTTGTTTCAGCAGCGTAAACAAACAGCCGAAAAGGCAGACGGGCAGTTAGACAAAATGATCTCTTAAGACCCTCTAACCCTGCAACTATGGCTCAGTTTCTTCAGAAATGATTTTTTCCTCATCAGCATCAGACATGAATATGCTAAAAAACCTTATTTAAAAAGTCAGAACCACTCTGCTTCCCGGGGCCTGCATGACCCGCAGGTCTCTCTCTGACCCTCAGGCCTCTCTTCAGGCTGGGTAAGTCAATTGTGCCCTCCTTGCCTTGACTCCCCCAGTCTCATCCACCCTCCCATATGCCCCGGCCGGTCTCTCTTCCTAGCCTGGGTCCTGTCCCATTCCTTGTCTTGGCGCCCCAGGCAGTGGGGGAGGTGGGGGACGATGATGACGACGACAACGACGACGCCCACCACTGCTTCCTGATCCTTTGCATCCACACCAACCCAGTTCCTTCTCTGTCCCCAGGAGCACCCTGGGCCTGGCTGCACCCTCACCTCCCTCTACTTCCCTGGGCCTGCACCACCTGCCAGCATCTGTCCTGGCCGCCTGGGCTGACCTTTCCTCTTCCCTATCCTTTGCATTCAGACCAACCCAGCTCCTCAGTGCAGTCCCCAGGAGCCCTTTGGGCAGCTTTCCACCCACATCTTCCTTTGCATCTCTGGGTGGCACAGCCACAACCTACCCTAGACCAGCATTTTTCCTGGGCCCACCTCCCAGCACAATCCAACCCCCAAATTCCAGAGGTCAAAATCTTTCCTCAAGGGATCCAGACCTTAGGAGAAAGCCTGAGAGCATCTGATCCTCATCTGACGTGAGCCTCCGTGGGAACTCCTGAAGACAAAAGCAATCTGGCCACTCCAGTACAAAATAAAAAGAGAGAACAAGAAGCTTAGAGGAACCAGCTTTTCATGTCCAAAAAAGTAAACCACAAAGACACATAAAGTTCACAAAAAGAAGCAGAACTAAACTTGAAGGCTTGAGTCTCACACAAGAATCAGAAACTACAAAAG